CTTTGCAGTAACTGACTGAAACCAGAATATTTGCTTTTCTTACATGAAGTACACCATCGAACCCCTATTCCGTCGTGGGGATGCATGTTAAAACTCTTAAGAGGGAGACCGGAGAAGCCGTCCGCTTGTACCAAATCGCTGTTCTCGTGCCACTTTGAGCTCATTTTTCTCGGCATAGAGAGGGCCAAATCGAGTCGCACTTGTTGCATTGCCTTGTCTAGGGGCTCTCTAGTAGACTGTGTGGAAATCCGCTACCCCAATTTTGGTGAGACACTGCCTTGAACCATTTCGTTTCAATTCCGTTCGCGACTTTCCAAGCGTAAATCCATTTTCTTTTCTTCGCGCAAGTTACCAAGTCATTTGTGACGCCACGTAACCATGAGTTGGTCTTCTTGTCTATCAAGCGACTACCAACCATTCTTCTTTCTATCCTCTTCCAGCAGCACCGAGCTGTTTTTCCATCTTTTTCGTCAATGTCATGTATCGCCGTAAAGTATCGCGAGAAGGATACACGAACTAAATAGTTTCCGCTTTCACTTCATTAACACTGTCTTTGAAACAGGAATCCTTGTATTGATGGAAAATTTGCCATCCAGCTTGTATACCCAGTGAGATCTCTTTGCTGTGATTGCGAGGAAGTGAAATGATTTGTCCAAGATAAACATATGACTGTACTTGTACGATTATGGTACCTTTAAGCCTGATTGTAACAGGAGTATGCGCAAGTACTCTCGTTTCCAGAGGATTCATTTTAAAACCGTTCCTGCAGAAGTGTCTATCTAGATCGTTTTTCATCGCTTCTAGTTCACCTTCAGATTTTGCAATTAGAACGATGTAGTCGGCAAAGCGCAGATTCGTGAGCTGATTACCGTTTATGCAATATCCGTAGCTGTTACAGCTGATTTTTCGAAAAACGTATTCAAGAGTAGCAGTAAACAGCTTAGGTGAAAAGGAATCTCCCTGCCGCACTTCTCTCTGTACATTTCTAGGATGAAAGTTTCACTAACCTTTACGGTTGATCGTGAACTTGCGTCTATTTGACGAAGGAGTGTTATAAGCTGTCAGTGGATTCCTTTTTCTTCAAGAGCGGTCCAAAGTCCACTCATTTCAACGGTATCGAAAGCTTTCTCATAATTTACAAATACCATAATAAGTGGTAAATTGTACACATTTGTGCGCTCGATCAGTTCATTCATAGCATGAATATGATCAACCGTTGAAAATTTTTTTTTTGGAAGGCTG